AAAGTTATCATAGTGACCTTCTTAAATTATCCTTTGCTGCCGTTCAGAAATGGCAGTCCGAAGATTGAGAATTTTGGCCGATTATTGGTATTCTCGGACACCACGCTTTGAGAGCTTATAACTTTCTATGCACTCTTGCTAGAGCTACAAGTTTGTCACGCAAATAAAGGATAACTATTGCTATAATACTTTGCAGTTTCATGAGATGGCAATGTATAGTTTTCCTAAAACAAGTGTCCGAAAATTGATGGTGTACGATCATTGATAATGTACTCTACATACATGTATATCAATGCTCTTTTGCTATATAAAGGTTAAGCACAATTTTTGAGCTACAATTTTTTTACAAAAATTGATGACACATTCAACATGTCCTTGGTATAGATCTATAAACACATTGGGCCAATTCTAACTGAACATTTGACCTTGTCAAAGTCCCTGTTCATGGTGTTAATTATTGATACTATATACAGTACACTTGTAAATATCCACTATTAAACTCACTGGAACTGGATCAAACTTCTTAAGTTACAAATAATTTTGCCCATGGTTTCACCTGACTTGGGGTCAAGATTATTTTTAGTTAGGCTATTTCAAAATAGTGAAGTAAATGATTAAAATCAATTGCTGAATGCAAACAATACACTTACACAAGAATGCGAAGATTAGTCATTGAAGAAATGACTGGTTGTAGCTCTAAGAGCTTTTGATTTCCAAGCTCATTACCATAAAGCCTGAAAATAGCCAAAATATGCTTCATTAGCAACTATATTATTATATACATGTACCTCAGTTCAGTAAGATGTGGCATTTTTTCTAATACATCAGTCAACGGGCTCCCTCCTTCATTGCCAATAGGATTAAATTGTGATCTTACCCTAATTCAAAAATAATTTAATTTTCTATATCTGTGCTTTTAAATGATCGAAACTCACTGCATATCTATGGCATTGGTAAAAATGGCTTTTACTTCATCCATTTGGTAATTCATAGCTCTAATTCCACCAGAACCAACCTGACAGTAATTCATGACTAGCTCCCTCAGATCGAGAGGACACTGAGAGACTGAGTACCCAATAGCAGCACAGTCAGAAGAATTAAGAATGATATTACTAACATCAACCTTTCCGTTCCTCGATGCCAGGAAAGCCCTGCAGTTTTGAGTGCTGTACTCAGACTTCTGAGCTTCAAAGAGACAATGGGCAAGGAACAGTGTTTCACTGCCTTGGGATGAATTTGCAGCTAAGATCTTATCAAAGTATACTGGAGATGAGGGGCTGTGCTTAGTAAGACCAAAGAAAAACCTCCACAATTGTCTCAAATCATTAGACCTTCCATGTAACTCAATATACTCCAGACAATTTTCAGAGCTAACTCTACTGAGGTAGTAAGCTCCCAGGAACTCCTGAACGGTCAAGTGCTGGAAACTGTACTGTGGCTCTTCAAAATTTGTTTGAATCTTTTTAGTATAGTTAGACAAAATGCCCAAGCCATTCTTTGATAACTTGTTACGATAAGAGCGACTGCTAAAATGATCAGGGAAGTGGTCTATGAGATAACTGTCCCCAAAAATCAAGTGTGATACAAGCTTTGTTTCAAAAGCAATCATGCAGATTGCATGGAACAAGTCCAATTCATCTTGTCCCTCCTCTTTCAGCTCTCTTTCTACATCTTTGAAATTCCTAATGTTGATGTAGTCAACTGCCTTCTCTCTTCTAATGTAGCGGATAATGGAATGAGCAATGAACTGAATATAGATCTCAGTTTCTGTCTCAGGGAGTGGATTACTGCCCTTGAACTGGTTAATGTACAGTATTATTGCCAAGTGTAGTGGTAGATAGCACATGTCTTTGACATTTGGATGACTATCAAGGTATG